CTCGGCCCCCCCCCCCGCCCCCCCCCCCACTGATCCTGGCCCTGCTCCAGCCGCCCCTCCTGCCCAGCACATTGAGGCCCCCAGAGCCGCCCAACCCCGACGACGTGCCCGCACACAAGGGGGCTCAGCTATCCGCCCCAGTACTCCTCCCAGTCCTCATCCCCCCTCCCACTTCACACAGCCCTCCTCCCCTGACCACCCTCATTTTTGTTAAATAAAAAAAGACTAATTTTGATTGAAAACCAAACAGGTGTGTTTATTGTGAGGCTGGGATAGAGGCAAGTGGAGGGAGTGAGAGGGGGAAGGGAGAAAGAAGGAAGGGTGGAGGCCCAGGGGAGATTTACAGTGGTTCCTGTGAGAATCTCTACCACAAGGCCTCCTGGATGTGCACCCCAGCCTCATGAGCCTGGCGGGTCACAGCTGTCCTGGGCTGCTCAAAGCTCCGGCCCTTGTGGGTGGCCTCTGCCACCCACGCCGGGAGGAAGGCCTCCCCCTTGTGCTCCACCAAGTTGTGGAGCACACAGCAGGCTACCCCCACCTCAGGATATTCTGCTTCCCAACATCCAGGCAGGTGAGGAGGCAGCAGAACCATCCTTTCAAATGCCCAAAGGTGCACTCTGCATGGAGGCGGGATCTGTTCAGGTGGGCATTGAAAATGTTCTTTGTGCGATCCAGATGGCCAGTGTAGGGGCACATTAGCCAGGACATGAGTGCGTATGCAGCGTCCCCCGCTATGCACACTGGCATAGTCTGGTTGCCCACAGGGAACTCCTGTTGGGGTAAAAAGGTGCCCGCCTCCAGCTGGGCACACAGGCTGGAGATGCGGAAAACTCAGGCATTGTGAGCCCTACGTGACCGCCCCATATAAATGTTTCTGAAGTGGGCCCGGTGGTCCACCAGGGCCTGCAGGACTACAGAGAAGTAGTCTTTTCGGTTGACAAACTGGGCCACTCAATGTTCCGGGGCCCGGATGGGGACTTGCATGCCGTGGATTGCTTCCATGCAGCTGGGGAATCCCAGAACAGAAAGCCGCCCATGATGGAGCCCACGTCCTGGAGCTGGATGACTCTGTGCAGCAGCAGGGAGTTGATGGCCTGGAGGACCTGCAGAAGGAGAGACTGGAACACATATAACAGAGATTGAGAGAGGAGCTGTGTGCTCCCAGTGGGACGTGCCTGCCCCCCTCCCCGCAACCAGGCCAGTGTGAGGGTGAGAAGGCACTAGCCTGCAAGGCCAAGGCTTTCCCCCCACCCCTTTACAGTGTTGAGCCCCACCTGTCCTGAGGGTCCCCCTTACGCAACATTCCTCTCCCACATGCAGGGACTGCACCCTGTGATGTCCTTATCTGCATGAGGGGTTTTTGTGCGGTCCCCAAAGATCAAAGGGCAAACACAGCAGGCACTGCTGGAGGCTTAGCTTTGCCAAAGAGGCTAGCAAGCAGGCAGCAGAGAGAGAGAAGCAGCTGTCCAGGGGGTCCCTTTAAGCGTGCGTCTCTCGAGGGCTCCGGCAACAGTACTCAAGAGCAACTGGTGACCTCTAGCCCGGCTAATAGTGTGGACGCTCTCTTGTGCAAAAACGCCTCGCAAAATCAAGATGCTTTGATGTGTGGATGTGCTCTTGCGCAAGAAGCTTTTGTGCAAAAAATCTAGCACATCTTGCGCAAGAAGCCTGAAGTGTAGATGTAGCCTGAGGTATAGCATATCTTTTAGAAAGATATTCATTCTTGATTTCAAGAATTCAGGTGATCAAAAATCCACTGCATCCCTACATAAATTGTTCCAGTGGTTAATTGCTCTCATTATTAAAAATATGTGCCTTATGTAGAGTCATAACACTTTGACAAAAATATGTGCCTTATGTAGAGTCATAACACTTTGACATGCCTTCTAGACTATGAAGCCCTCCACCATCAGAAATCTCTCTCACATCTGGGGTATTAGGCAGTTATCACATCACGATTTAATCTTCTCTTTGATAAACTAAATATAATGAGCTGCTTTAGTCTCCCAATTGAATCATTCTTGTAGCTATTTTGTGAACCCTTTCCTATTTTTCAATCTTTTTTTGTGGTCACCAGTATAAGATACAATAATTTTACTAATGATTTCACCAATGCAGTATACAGTGATAATACCACCTTCCTAGTCTTGCTATTGATATTTCCTTATACTCCAAAGGATCACATGTGCTCTCTTAGGGCTTGTTTTCACTGTGCAGAAGATGGTCTACACTACAGGAAAATGCAGGACAATGTAGCGCTTTAAAGACTAACAAGATGGTTTATTAGATGATGAGCTTTCGTGGGCCAGACCCACTTCCTCAGATCAAATAGTGGAAGAAAATAGTCACGACCATATATACCAAAGGATACAATTAAAAAAATGAACACATATGTAGCCGTGTTAGTCTGGGGTAGCTGAAGCAAAATGCAGGACAATGTAGCGCTTTAAAGACTAACAAGATGGTTTATTAGATGATGAGCTTTCGTGGGTGATGATATTAGAGGTGGGGAGAGTGGGATGTCTGTGAGCTAATGGTATTAGAGGTGATAATTGGGGAAGCTATCTGGTTAATTACCAATTATCCCCAATTATCACCTCTAATACCATTAGCTCACAGACATCCCACTCTCCCCACCTCTAATATCATCACCCACGAAAGCTCATCATCTAATAAACCATCTTTTTAGTCTTTAAAGTGCTACATTGTCCTGCATTTTGCTTCAGCTACCCCAGACTAACATCTAATATCATTAACTCACAGACATGTACCTTCCTTCCCCCCCCACATTCCCCTTCTGTTCTGAAATGTGATTTGTCCTTTTCATATGTGTTCATTTTTTTTAATTGTATCCTTTGGTATATATGGCTGTGACTATTTTCTTCCACTATTTGATCTGAGGAAGTGGGTCTGGCCCACAAAAGCTCATCATCTAATAAACCATCTTGTTTGTCTTTAAAGTGCTACATTGTCCTGCATTTTGCTTCAACTACCCCAGACTAACACGGCTACATTTCTATCACTACGCTACAGGAGAAGGTCCAAGTAAGATATGCAATTCCCACGGTAGATCTTCTGGAGTTCAATTTACCAGGTCTTAGCAAGGAGTAAGGGAAGCTGATTGAAGGATTTGCTCTGGTCGACTTCCTGCTGCAGAGATGGCACATAAACGCAAATTAAGGTTGACTCCAGCTACGTAATTAATGTAGCTGGAGTTTCATATCTTAATTTGACCTTCCTCTGTAGTGTAGACCTGGCCTTAGTGACAATACTGCTCCAATATCTCACATTACATTAGTTTTCTACCATCACCCTTTGATTGACAATAATGTTAAAATCTAATCCTACTAATCAAACCGCACCTCTGCACCATCATCTAGGCTGTCAGTATTGTGCCCTCTGAAGGATCAGAGGCTACATCATGGGCAGCGGGTATGCTAGGCAAGGGAAGGCATTGCCTTCCCAAACTGATAGCCTGGCCTTGCCCACACTCCACCCCTAGAATGCCTCCCCGTCTCCTGGGGCCAGGGAGGTTGGGGCTGCATGCTCCACCTCCCCGTGGTGCTGGGGGGCAGAAGGAATGGGGCTGGAGGCAGCTGCTTTCACCCACCACCCATGGGCTACATCCCCCAAATGTTAAAGTGCCCTCACAATCTTGCCATCCCTACACATGCTGAGAGCACGAGCAAATCCTCAACGGGAAAAACCAAAACAACCCAAAGGGATGGTTTCAAAATGAGCTTTAAACAACAGAGAGTCCATCTCCCTGCCTGCCTGGAGCCTGCGGGGGGGGGGGGGGGCATGTTTCCCAGCTCCCCCCCACCACGCCCAGCCTCAGGGGCACAGACTCCCCGGAGTCCAGGCGCTGGGGCTTGTAGAAAACACTAACTAGCGCCCCCCTGCCGCTTCTTCAAGTTCCCTCCCCCCCCGCGCTCCCGAGGGCTGCAGCGCCGCACTGCAAGGGCAGGACCGGGCAGCTCCCCTCTGTCTGCCCTTCCCCGCCCCCTGCAG